AGTGCTCCAGGCTCCTTCTTTACTGACAGTTGGGCCACCCTCTGAGCATGCTGGATTTGGACCATCCTGCATGGGTCAAGACCATAAATTCTTCCCTCTACCTTCTAGATAGCTCCAAAGTCAGTGGGATCATCACGAAACTTAGGCTCAGCAGCTATGTTCAACATGTGAATCCCACTCTGACCCCTGTAGTGATGACACAGGTTTTGTCCTTGCTCTGCAGAATTCAGGCCCAGACAAGGAACCTGAAAAGACTGCAGCTTCTTGGTCAGTGGTAGTGGCCTTCTTACCCACAGGCCTGGTGAAGAAGAAGAAGGACTGACCCACATTTGCACTGGCCCAACAGCCACCCCAACAGCACCAAGATGTGAAGGAAACCCAGAACTTTCAACCCCCAGATGTGTCAGGCTGATTTGCAAAGATACAATAAAAGACTCTAGAATAACTGATATTTTGGGGATAACCAGCTTCTGGGGCATGGCTTCATTGTATACACTCCCAAGCCTTCTTGAAGATGTGGGATAAACAAGCTCTATCACCTTAGCATACCGCTTTTACTCCATAATGAGCCACTGAAAGCATTCTTTTATTTAAAAGTAAGTTAAGGTGATGAGGGCCCTGAATATGCTTCATGGAAAGCTTTAACCAAAACATGAGACTTCCAAGGCATGTCTTCTGGAAGTGCAGGTCCACACAAGCCCCAGACCATCTCACCTTGCCCCTGGTGTCAAGGACTATTTAGTGGCAAAGCTTAAGTAGCAATGGGTCTCCTTCTCTACTAATTTCCCTAATACAGAAATGTATATATTCTTATAATTAGAACAGTACAATAATTGAGTCAAGTGATCAACATTACCTCAGGTGAGACCCTGAATTCACACAAAGATTTATCCTCTGCATAAATTTATGTTCACCATGGGCTTTAGGTGATGCCTCTCCAGCTAAACACTACATATGTGTTCGACATCCTTCTCAGGGACACAGCATCCAGCTGCGTCTCGCTGGTGGTGCTGATTTTGATGATCTGCTCAAAATGTGGCTAAGATTCTACTGCTCTGTGGTATAGTGCACAGTGTACACACAATCCTACTAGCTGCAGTCTATTTTTCCCCCTCATTACTGATCAAAAAACTCTGGGAAGGCATCTTGAAACTATAAAAATCGACCATTCCTCATCAACCTTTCCCCTATACTCATAGTTCTTTGACAAGCTTTAAACTAGTTTTTGATAACATGGTAGCAAAATGGTAATTGTCCTACTCCATCACTTCCTCCACATTTACCAATCAGCACTGCCTTATACATTACACTCCTTTCCAACCAGTTATGCCTCCCTTTAGCCCATAGACTTCAGATTTGTTTACCTACTTAGTATTCCAAATTTTGTTTCAACAGATTACAGTACATTGTTGTCATTCTTTGTTTTGAGGCTCAAATCATGTCAGATTTGATCAATGCAAGGCTGTGTCCTCCTGACATGACTATAGTTTGTACTTCTTAATTTCTGTCACAAAATATTCTATGCTACTATTAGGGATGGTATCTCATCTCCCCTAGCCTGGCATTAATAATTTCTCTAGAGAATCCTCACTGGGAGCATCTGGAGTTCGTTGCTCCTTGGGTGCCCTTGCTTCTAGCATTTTCTTAATGGACACAGTTGAGATTTCATTCCTATATCATACAACCCAGATATGTCACACATATCTGCATTGTCTTGACCCATTTCCACCTTTCATCAATCACAACATACTCCCAAAATAGATTCAGAATCATTATGCCCATAATACTAGGAGTGACACCAACACAAGTTTAAATTTCCTCACACTTCTCTTTTCCTCCACAGAGTGAAAGGTAGATACTGCCAGTTTTATGTTCAAATTTCAGTATTGAACATTAGAGTAATTCCAATGGTCAATTCTTTTTAAATCGTTTTTCCTGGATAGCTCTGTTGCTCAGCTGAAGTGTGCTTAGATTTATTTACTTCACTATGCACTAACTTTTAGTCTCTCCTCCATTCTTGTTGACATAATCTTGTTTTTGAGGATACCAAATACATGCTTTCAAAAGTCAAATCTCTGCAAAAAAAAGTGTCCTCAGAGGGGCACCTTCTTTGCCTAGTCTCTTCTCCTCTGTACTGCATCCCACCTCTTATTGGTAATCAATTTTTGTTTTCTGAGTTATGTTTCTATCTGTGAAATGAACCCAATATATGTATGCTTTTGTACTTAAAATTCCTTCTCTTATAAAAGGTAGCCAGCTATCCTTACTGTCATATTTTGTTAATTTAACTTAGAGTATATCCTGGAAGTCATTTCATGTCAATCAATAGAGATCATCGGCAGGTTTTTTTTTTTTTTTTTAATACAATGACTCTGATAGATGTACATTGCATGGTTCATCCAATTGATCTGTTATGTCTGAGCCTTTTAGATAACCTTCAATATTTTGAAATTCCAAGCATTCTGCAATGGACAAACGTGCTTATATGTTTTTGTGTCATTGGGGATTCAGCTCCCTGGTTATTTCCAAGTAGAACTGCTAGAACAAGGACACAAATCTCGCCATAGAGATCGCCCCATTCTGTGTTCCACACCAATCAGTGAAAACCTCCTTCTCCCAGCAACGCAGTTCACGGTTGACCTTTTAATTTCTTGTGGGTGAGAAATAGTGCCATTGGCATTTTTCTTACTATGCATGCAATTGTTCATTTTCTCATATATTTAAAAGTAATTTGCATTATATTTTGTAAATTTTACATATATTTAAAATGTGCCCTTGCTTCTAGCATTTTCTCAATGGGCACAGTTGAGATTCATTCCTATATCATACAACCCAGTTTAACGTCACATGTATCTGCATTACTGATTATTCAGATCCGCTAGTAGTCTGAAGGATTACTAACTCTTCTTACATGCCATGTGTCGGAAATATTTTCTCCTTTCTGACTTATAGAAGCTATTTTCATGGGCTTTTTTGTTTTATATTTAAATAGTCAAAATTCACTTTTCTCTCTCTTGTGTTAGAAAGCCTTTTCTAGAAACCAGATGACAGAGGAATTCACTGAGGTTTCTTCTAGATAACAGCACGGTTTCAATTTTTACAGCTCAGACCTCTGGATTTCCTGATTTTCCTCCTGGATATACTATAAATATTAGAACTACTTTCATTTTTCTCTAAACGGCTACCTTCTTTTCACAAATCCCACCCTAGCTCCACTGACCTGAAATGCTGCCTTTCTCATACAATAAATGCTTCTACGCAAGGGGATCTTCTGCCCACCTTTGGATCTCCTATCTGCCAGTCTGTGTGACTGCCCAGCTTCTAGTACCATAATACTATTTTAGAGATTCTGTTCTTATATTTGTATGTTGTTGAAGCAAATAAAATGATGGCTCAAACTGGCTATTTGGGGTTTCATACTGACCACTCTGACTCGGAGGCTTAAGGACTGGCTAACTGCCTGTCTCTTTTCTCCCAGGTGTTGGCCTTAATCATCCACATGTAAGAAGAGATGGACTATCAATATTGCCACTGTTGCCTTTGTCAGTATCCATATCATTGTACTGACTTAGCTATTCTATTTATATGACTCAGAATCAAGCTGGTATGTGAATCTCAAACTGATTAAATAAAAAAAGAGTTTCAGATCTGCACAGCCAGCAGACAGCTTTGCAGCCCTGCATCTATGGGTATTCAGGGGACTCTTCCTGGGGTAGGGTGTCCCTTCTTGGCCAGAAAACACATGCATGATTATGGACTCCTGGCTACTCTAAGGCACAGGTGAGGCAAGCTGCTGAGGCCTGGCTTGGGCCACGACGTCCCCGAACATGGATTCCCATATGCTGTTCCTGCCCTGCTTTTGCCTGGTGCTGCCAGAAATGCGGCAGGAACCAGAAAGCCCAGGGAGAAAGCAGCAGCCCACAACAGCCAAGATCACCCCAGGGGACAGCTGCACCTGCGCTACGGCTGTAACTGGATTAATGTCATGACAACCCCAACAAAAATGAAGGCCAAAGGGGTGGTGAGATAACTCAGTGCTCTAAGCGCCTGCTTAGGCAAGTGCAGGGGTTGGGGTTTGATCCCTGGCACCACATACCACACTGGCCCTGCCCCTGGGCATGCTGAGCCAGCAACAGAGTTTTGGTGTGGTGGTGTACACCTGTAATCCCAGCACTGAGGAGGTTGAAAACAGGAGGATCACTACAAGTCCAATCTGCATAGTGAGACCCTTCACAAAATTTAAAAAAAAAAAAATGAAGGCAGAGGGGCCCTGTACTACACCTATAGTCATTGAATGAGAAACGCTATTCCCATCAGACTCTTGGTTACTATGAAAAACTAATCCAACACTGCACAAGAAAGGCAATCAGGGAGCCACTGCCAGCACTTGATGACTGGCAGGGCCTTACTTCTTCATCCATTTGGATCACACTCTTCTGCCTGGAATTTGGCCTTCAAGGAAGCCCCAGGCCGAGGGCTTATACCACAGAGTCTTCGTAACCAGCATTTGAGCATGTCTTCCCTCGTAAGCTTTGGTCAACACATACTGTCACTAGAAGCCAACATAACCACAACCTCGATGGTGACTCGAACTTATTAGATCTGAGCTTCAGTCATGTCTAAAGATTCATTTCTGGGATTCAGCCTCACCTATCAGAAGGACTGGATTTGAGAACATGTTTAAATTGCTGCCTTATAAGAGATTGTGAGCTCAGGTGGAAAGAGGAAAGGAGAACTAGGCATGGTGGAAGCCGAAAGGCTGTTCTTTATGTGAACCAGACACTTTTCAGAAGTATGGGTTGTATTCTAGGACATTCAGCAACATTGCTTGCAAGCGCAACCAACACTAAATACATATACAACCCAGGGAAATGTGACTGAACCCCATAATTAAAGAAGAATGATACAACTGCTTTTCTCTGAAATTAACACCGAAAAACTGTCATAGTGCAGGATGCCAGTAAACTCCAGCCTCTTTCCCAGACCCCCTGTGGACTCACAGTGCTATCGATGTAAGCTTCGGTCCACACCACATCATGCTCCTGGTCAATGACCTTGGGCCGGCTCAGCACATGTAGGTACTCCATGACATTCTCCTGCACGTCCGCCAAGGTAGAGATTTGTGTGAAAAACCCTGCCAAATCCCAAAGGAGAACAACAATTAGTACCATGCAGCAGAATCTGAAATAGGGAGCCTACATAGGCCATGCCTTCTTGCCCTCCTGCTAATTTCTTTCTGATGTGTCGGATCTTGTTGCTACAACCACTCACTTTAGGATCAAGGCAAGCAAAAAGAATCAAATTTCAATCAATCAGAAGCCTACCTCTCAGAGGATATCTCTATTAACCCAGTATACTCCCAGTATTTATGTATTTCCACAGCACAAATGGAAGTCCTCTCCACATCTCATTTTGTAATCTTTTTTTTTTTTCACATTAGGGAGTCTCTTTCTGAGGAGAAAACTGTAAACCACAAGAATCAAAGGCTGTTTGATCATTATAATCTTAACAATATGAGTTTGAATTAATTTTGAATGTATATTAAAAGCCACAATGTTTGCTAGACACTTGATAAACTCTCATTTTTTTTCTTGACAACACAATGAAGCGGGGATTACTTAACGGGGGAGCCCCAGATCTGCCTTTTTTATTTTAAAGAGACTATATGCCTTTTGATACAAAGTAGACATGGTGTCTAAGCAACACCAAAAGATTGCTAGGGATAAGGCTGTCCATTTGGTCTAGAGCTCCAGGGTACTTCTTTGTTTCCTTTTCAATGCCTTTCAGCTCGGGGTCCTTTGAGCTTTGTTGTGAGTCAAGGGAAGTTAAAAGGGAAAGTGGGCACCAGGCACAGGCCTGTTGCCCCAGGAGAGTTTTCTTGGTTCCTGGAATGGAGGAGCAAGGAGGATGAGAGGAGCAAGGCCCGGCCTTTTGAGATCCTGGCACAGCAGATGAAGCAACATCACAAAAGAGCACAACCAACATTAAGCTAGCACACAGAAGACAAAGCCAGTCAAAGCTGGCTCCCCTGACCAGGGCCAGGATGGCTGAAAACTATAGGATGCAGACTGGTCACAGAGAGGAAGAGGGACTGAGGGGCTTAGCAAAGCAAGGGGTATGAGCAAGACCTTTGATCAGCGAGGACCAGGCCTACTAGAAGTAGAAAAATGCTGAGAATGGGTAGAGATAAGGAATTGGGCAGAGGACAGCAACTGAGTGCTCTAAAATGAACTGGAATATCAGTACCTGGGAAAGAACTGAGACTTCATTCTGATGGTAGGTGGTCTCAGAACTTTAGCAAGGGGACACTGGATAGACACAGACTCATGCTTCTTCCTCTGATGGCTAAGTGTGAACTATATGCTCATACTCTTACTTACCGAATAAATAAGAAAGTGTGAATCTGTCTCTGAATCGAGATCTTGCTATGGCATTTATAGAATCTCTTCATGCCTCAAACAAGGCTGAGGGTAAAGAAACACCACCCTTTTCATTGTCCGGGAAGGTTGGGACCCTCCCAGCGATTTCCAAACAAAGGCCAGCTGGTTTGAATTTTATGTGCCAACCCAAAACAGGTTGCGACCATGTGGCCTCTGGGTCCCTGATGACAGCTCTGCACAGTGCTAATTAGCATGCATTATCACTCCTGCCTGCTCCACCCTCCTGCTAGGGACACACCCTCCCCCCTTCAGGGAAAAAGGGGCCCCCACAGGAAGAGTGTGAGCACCTGATGTAGTTTAAGACTCAGGAGCAGGGCCTAAAAGCACATCTCTCAGTGGTCTGGCTCCACAGTGAGGGCAATGCATTTGGCAAACTACTCTCACAGTGCTCCAAGGTGGTCCTCTTTCAGCCATGGTCGAAAGGCAAGTTTTAAAGGGATGGCTGGAGGGAAGGGGACACGCTACAGCCATAGGTATCATCTCTCCATGCATGGTAGCTGCAGCCAATGTTTGGATGGGAAAGAAAATACTTCTTTCTTTAGTAGATAACACTTGGTGGTTCTAAGTGAAGAGTCCTGATGGAGGGCCAGCTAAGAGGGTGCCGTGTGGTGGTCAGAGGAGGGGATGGAGTGATGCTGGGTTAGGGACCATGGCCAGCATTTGCATTGTGGAGCCAGGTGTGCTGTGAAGCCAGCTTCTTCTAGAAGTGTCCCTTGACTATTTTCACACTGAACCCTCAAAGCCCAACAGTAAAACTTGCTGATAAAGATTTTGCAAAACCAACCCAAGAAAAGAAAGGGGATGCATGTAAGAAGGAAGATGGGCAGGATAGGTCATTAGCACAGAAAGGAAGTAGAGAGAAAATCAACCACATGCTTGGACAGGGATTGAGCTGAGAAATCATCTTTACTAGGCCTTGTTTTGTCAAAGTTCTGAACAGTTGTCAAGAGCTGACTTTCTGGAGCTAGCTGCACACCTGACACCTCCCCGGGGATCACTAACAGAACTCTCAGACTAAGGCCTTTTAGAGCCAGCTCTGCTCAGCTCCTCCTACGGCTCATCTTTCATCTCTCAAGAGTTGCGATCTGACTGATTAGGCTAAAAGTAGAATTATCCTAGATATCCATCAATCCCTCTAACTCACCACCATGTTTTCCTGACATTCTTCTCTTTCCACTGCTTATCCTGCTCCAAGACTCTATCATGTCACCAGGAGCAGAGCAACATCTCCCTAGGGATCCTGCTCCTCATCCAGGCTTCTCACAGCTGAAAGGGTCATCTTCCAGTATGTGCAGGGCATCCTTTCTAGCTGGAGTCCTACAGAAGCTTCTATTTAGAATTAGAGTAAAAATCTAAATGCCTTACTCTGACCTTAGAGACCCCTGAACCTGCCTGGTGGGCTCAGCTTCAGCTTGTTGGGCCTTCCTTATGCTGCTCTCCTAGGTTAAGCTCAGAGTCAACCACAGGCCTTTGTTCCTCCCACCAGGTACAACCTTTATCTGGTTTTTTCAAGGATCATTCCTCTTTATGATTAAAGGTTCAGTTCGTACAGCCCCCCCCTAGCCCTCCTTTCAGAACACACTCAATCTCCCCTCACTCTGCTTTGGGTTCTTCAGAACATCCTAATCTGAAGGATGTTCTCTGTCCCTGGATTAAGAAGTACTTCCTTTCTATGTTCTCTGTCACTGGAATACTATCTCCATGGAATGTGCTTGTCTTGCAAGGAGGATTCTCCCAGAATAGGGTGTGTAGGGACGTGGGAACTATCAGCAATGCAGGAGTCTTCGCTGAGTTCTTTCTGGAATTTACCGTGCCTTTCTCCTTGCATTCAGACCCAGTGATATTCAACTCATGTGTTCATGGTATAAGGGAGACATGAGAAGTTCAGAGCTAGTGATTCCCCCCGATCACTTTCATCTAGGTTCATTTCATTCGAAAGTCTTTGCTGTGGAGTTTTCAAGGTGCTGCTTTGGCTCAGAGTGGGAAAGGAAGGTTGCTCAGAGCTCCCTCGAGAGCAAAGCACCTCTTCTACGAGACTTGCATGTTGCAGCTGGAAATCTTTGACGGTGGGCATGGGGTAAGAACACACTGATGTCCTCAGAGATGCACAAATACTTAGTGACAAAAGGTCTACTCCAAACCAAAGGCACAAGTCCAGCTCTCCTAGGTTCACTTCAATATGGAAATCAGGGCTACAGATGTATACAAGGTAAAAAATAAAACCTGAAATTATAAAAGTAATATTGAGAATAGATGGTGCAAAACATACTCAGATTTGATCCTCGCTCATTAAAATGTAAAACCTTTGAGAAAAAGTCTTTTGTTTTTAAATATTTTCATTTAAGTTTTAGTTAACAAATGATGGATAGTAGGAAATAGCTAAGGATTGGAATCTTTGGCTGTAACCGTAGACACTTCCCTTACGTTTTCTCCATATTCTTTGAGCTGGCCACTTTCCCCTCTTTTTTTTCCTGTTAAACTGTAGCTCTAGAATGTTTATTCTCTAATGTACCTTTTTGGACTTCATCTATCATGTAAGAAAGTAGAATCAGCAATCATCTGTAATTACCAAGCAGTAATTAATGCTGAAATTAGCCTCCTATTACAGATGGTGTGGTCATTTTTCTATGTAACATCAATTTATTTACCTTATTCCCTTATAGAGTTCCTTCCGTGAACTCTGGGTTACAACTACTGAGTATGATAAACCATATGCAACCTGATTTTACCGCCCTGACTTCAATATTTCTTAAGAGTTCCTTGTCTAAAAGCTGCCTTGACACGAGCTGCTCCAGTAACACATAATTCAACACTATACTTTGCACTGACACCAGATCTGAGGGTGCCCAGCATGTGTCCTCAGAGAGTAGACCCCCCTGTCTACATCATAAAGTGAGGTTCTCTCTCTTACTTCGGTGTGATACAGTGCCCTTTGAATTTTTCCACAGACTCTTTTGTTGCTCAAGGGAGGCAGGGTGAAAACCAGAGGGGCTAGGTTCCAGATTCCTCAGGGACCTGAGGTGAGAGCGAGGTCTGCAGTGGCAGGAAGTCCTTGATATGATTGCACTCGTTTGCATTTCCTAGGGAACAAGAGTCCTCTTGGAAGACTCCCTCAATAGTCTGTCACCTCTTCCTCTTCATAAGCAACACACACACACACACACACACACACACACCCCTATAAAGCACTTATTTTTGTAGAAAAATGTACAATTTATAAACAGTTTCTACCTTCATGTATTTTCAACCTGCACAAAGCACAAGCAAGAGACCCACCGAGCTTCGAAGGATGTATCCATGGAATTAGAAAGGCCAGACCAGGGAGACAAGGACAGGTGGGGCAGAGGGCCTTGCGGCCTCAGAGGGAGGAGGAACAGGGGTCCTGGATGAAGCTGTAAGAATCGACTACAGCCTCAGATTTAATATAAGCCTTTTCCTTTGTAAAGCTTAGTACATCTCAATTTCTAACTCCCTGATACAAATATAGGAGGAAGAAGACGAGGAAGAGGAAGAAGGGGAAGGAGAAGGAGAGAAAAAGGAAGAGGAAGCAGCAGCAGCAGCAGCAGCAGCAGCAGCAGCAGAAGAAGAAGAAGAAGAAGAAGAAGAAGAAGAAGAAGAAGAAGAAGAAGAAGAAGAAGACGACGACGACGACGAAGCAGAAGCAGAGACCCACTGGGAGTAGCCATGTGGGCTT